TCATGGTGATTTTGTCTCCTTGCATTTGACTTGTTATTTTTTTTGCGTGAGAAAGGAAAAGGAGACGATTTTTTTACGTGTCTGTTCAGAAAGTTACGCATCGTACCGTACATACTGTTATTCCAAAGTTAGGCATATCGCTACCAGCGACCTATAAGCGCTAGATGCGTGCCTGCAGACCGGCGAAAACAGATACAGACTTTTGTTTCAACCACAATACACTCAACTGTGCCATATAATCAACCATCTGTTAGCTACGTTTGGTCCGTTGACATCACTGTAGATTGGAAGGATGGTATGACAAAGATCTGTTTCTGTTGCTAAAAGCTGTTTAGTTTCAGTGAGATCAGCTTCCATTTCTATCAAGCCACCCTAAACCAAACATTTTGAAGTTAGTGTATCCATTTTTTATTTGAAATGGTTCACAACTGGAGAGGAAGAAGAATTGTAGGGTATACGGAATAAATCACAAAACGAGTTTACATGGCTTGCCAGAGCATCCTAAGTCTTTGTAGCGTTTTGCATCGTCAGTCTAAATTTTATGTACATGCTCTAGATGCATTTTAATTAGGCAGTGATGGCTGGAAATTTGATGACGCAGTGAAAAGCCTTGTCTGTAAAATTTTCTAAAAGGTCTGAGCAAAGTTTAAATAAAAAATTTAAACTTTTGATATAATGTAAATCAATATTTTTCACTTCACTTCCCTTAAACCAACCGGTAATCGGCGAAGAATTGTGGTGGCCGCTACACGTCTGCCATTACTGGCGGTTCGAGCCCCTACACACAAGCGTGGCTTTCCTGTTATAAAACTTTTTATATATTTAAATAAATATACGAATGCTGTCGGTCTTCAATCGCTACATCAAGATTTTTTCTTTGCTCAGAATTAAGTTTATTGATATGGAATGAGTTCAGTTACAATTAATACATTTGTACTAATTTGATAAAATCTAGATGCCTTCAGTTCTGAAAAATTGTTTTAGTTGTTGCCTATTAGAGAACAGTTTTTCCCGTGGACAACATTCACGTGTACAAAGTTATCACTGTTTGTGGGAAAGAGCTTTGTATCCCAGTTGACTCAGTTTCCCGAAGAGTGACTTAGGAAACATGAAGAAGAAAACTGTTTTTTTGTGGAGAAGACTGATCGTCGAATTTTAAACACCAATGTCCGGCGTAAGTTGACAACTTCTAATAGGCAGTGTCCATTTTATAATACAACAATAACTTTTCCCGCTTTGGCTTCGCTAAATTTTAGGTAGTTACGCTATTTGCCTAATTCTGTCAATCGGACAGTCACGATTGTCTTCTTCCAGAGAAGGAATCTGAGCTCTGATATATGTTTGTCGCCCTTCTTCTTGGTCCAGGTACACTCTTGATCCTGTGTGCCGTTGTCATGCAGAATCTGTTTTTCTTCATACTTGTTCATAATGACCCAGCGACAACTAGATCGTTCCTGTTTCTTATGATCAGAGAAGAGATTTTCACTGTACATTTCTTTAGTTCGGTTGCTGGGGCATCCGTTTGCCCCCTCCCCATGAACTTCTTCACTGTCCGATTTCGAGAAACAGTGGCAAAGCCACAGTTTTTTGCATCATTTATGTTTGGTTTAATTTCGATTCGAGGTTTCGGACGGTCGCCATCGCAGTAACGATGATCTTTATCTTTGAGACTCGTATGTCGTTATTAAAAATTTTAAACCAGCGTCGTATAGCATTGTTCAAACCCGTATTAGATCCTGATGCAAAATTGTATGAAAAGTTTTTTTTTCTTTGTGCTTCGATAAATATCAAATATAAATAGACGCACCCATTTCAGATTTATGTATTATGCTAGGTGCTACAAAGCAATACATGGCTTACTTGCATTGAGCATCGAAGCCATGCACAATAAATATTAACTGCAAATAACGGCTCCAGCTGAGATTGTTATTCAGAAGGGTAACGATATAATATTCACGATATAATCGACTCTGTCTTAATCTGTTCTTCTAGTTCTTGCATCCGCAAGAACAGTTTGCCAGTTCTGGACATAAAAATTTTTGACATGTAGTTTCATTATTAAGAATAGTCGTTGACGATTTGTTGTGGATCAGATTGAAGTGTCTCCAAGGGATTTAGATGTGAGGATATATTGTAATCTCTTAGTGGTCCATCGGTACTATTTATCTAGACAGTAATATTCGTGTTTGTTACGGCGAAACTCGCTTATCTGTAAACAAGTTTTTTTTTTAAATTTTTACGATTTATAGAAACAGATTTTTTAATGAACTTTCGTTTCTTTTCATTTAGCTCATTGTCTCTCCCTAGGGACGAAGTTATGTAAAACTGAAAGTTGCAGCAGCAACCGAAGGAAACATTTCCTCCAAGACTATGATCCCCATGTTTCTTACGCCTATTTCACGTATAATCTGAGTATCTAATAAGTTATATGCATGGCAAATTTTGGGTATGAAATAATAAAAACTGATTCTGAAAATTTTCTTAAAAATTGGCCTAAGTGTCGTTGTTAAATTTCAACGCTGGTTCGCGTTTCGTATGTTCTTCTTTTCAGCCGGTGTCATTTGCATTGCACCTCTCGGGTCAGGGTGGTACCGTGCGCAGGTCATGGAAGTTTACCGTGAAGTGGACGAAGTTCAGGTCAAATTTTTAGACTATGGCGGCTACACTGTGGTTCCCGCCTCTGATTTACGTCAGATAAGGTATGTTACATGTTCTGCGCGGTTTTGTCTCTACGGAACTATTTTTCAGAAGCGATTTCATGACTCTTCCTTTTCAAGCTACTGAGGTATGCTTGGCAGGCGTGAGACCGTTGGACGGTAAGTTTCAGCTTATTGTTTTGTAAATATTCTCATGTTGTTCCTGTCCACAGGATGCTGTCCCCTCCATTCGGCTTCTCTCGACGCTTAATCATAACTCACTCATCAGTTGTAACCAAAACACTACTGTGCCTATGTGAAAAGTTTCACAAAATCTTTAGAAACGTTTTTTCTGGATTTGAGGTTCGCTATAGTGAAGAAAAAACTGTGTACTGTCAGTGATGTGCTCTATTCAGTGGTAATTTCCCACATGAAATCTCTAGAAGGGTTTTGATTTTGATTTTTAAAGCAGCATTTAGGTTTCTAATAGAAAAGGGGAAAACAGGTTTGTAACCATTAGAAGGTCGGTCTCCTTTTTTAATCTTTAACGACGAGGCCAATTCTTGCACCCTTCTTTTAGTGACATTACTCGCTCTTTCCATGCCATCAGCCAGGTGTTCGTTTTTTCAAAGGCAGACCTGCTGTAGCTATATGATTAGCATGGTTTATATTTCTTTGTTTCCTTCCCACAGACCGGTACTCATTTATCAATATCAGAAAAAAATAAAGGCGAGTCACCTGACTGAAAATCGAAGCTAGGGCTTCATAGTTCTGAGTCTAAGGCCCTCTCCGTGAATAGCCCTGTTCAAAAATAGAAAATGCAAAGAAAGTTTCATTGCGGGTTTCTATA